GGGATCAGATGATTTGTAACACTTACTTCTAAATAAAACTTAGAGAGTGCTACTAGAGGACTTCTGAAATCAAAAATACTAGAGGGTATAATGATGTAGGTGACAGTATTATTGTAGCGTATGGATGTAAAATAATTCATAAGGATCCCTCTTGGTGAAAAAAGATTAGAATATGTGATTAAAAAAGTCTTGTGTCGTCAGTGTGCAATCTTTTATGCGGCTCCAAATTAAGTTTTTATTATATTGCAAAACTAGGGTATTATGTGGTTGACATTTGATTTCGATTTAAATTAAAAAAATCATGTGACTCAAGTACAATCATCAATAAATGATATAAACCATCTAATTACAAAAACATTAGGAATGTGAGATGGTCTTCAAATGCGAAAATGGATTAGTAAAAATGAAAAACTTTTCATTACTATTAAGAAATTTTACACGCTTATGTTTGGAAAATTCACATACATCACAATGTAAATTTTCACCAACAAAATTTTTAAATAACGAAAGAAAAATAATCTTCAGGATTGAAAAAGATGGGTGTTCAAGTCTTTGTGGTAGAGCCAAAAATTGTCTATAGGGTCTAAAGTAGTAGCAAAGAGGGATGACTTAGGTGCGTCTAAATAGTACAATTTGTTTTTGACTTCAGCATGTCCAATTATCTTCTCCAAGTTCTAATTCTTCACAATGAGAATGAAAAAATGCTACTTTACAGTTCAAATCATTTGATAATTTAGTGACTGACACAAAATTAATACAAAACTTAAGAACGTGTAACGCATTCTCTAGAATCAAAGTAGGACTAAGTTTAATGTTGTCCGTTCCTGCAATAATGTTTAGCAACACATCAACAATAACAATTTTCTTACTAATTGGATATAGAACATGTGTAAAAGTATTTTGAATAGTTGGTTATATTGTCAATGGCTCCTGAGTTTATAATCGATAATCTTTCAAAGAGTCTAATCGAGGCATTTAAAACCATGTCAAAAAAGAAAAAATCCCTGAGTATGTCACCAAGCTTGTATATGTGGGTTTTTATGGATTGGCCATGGTGGGTTTTGCACTGGTAACTAAAGATGAAACCTCTTACATGACCTGAATATTATAAGGCAATTAAGACCAATTAAATAGCGCAAAATTTAGGAATTATCAAATTGTCCGCAGCAGAGGACTACGTGTCTGAGGAATTGGCTGTGCTTGTGGGTTGTGCGCAACAGGCAGACGCAGCTTGTGGAGGTTGCATGGCTGTTGGCTGTGCACAGAAAAGCAGAGGTGCAGCTAGATTGATCATGTTGTTGAGTAAAGTCGTGACTGGAGGCGCCAAATGCATGGCAGGAGGCACTGTTTGGGGCTGGCACAGCAAAGGGCAGCTGCACAGTGACGGCCAGTTGTTTCTCGACTACTGTGACAACTATTGCGGCAGGGAGGCAAATTTGAGACTGGTGGCACAGTTGGTGGTTGCGGCTTCAGGGGACAGCAGCTGGTGGCATATGCTACAGGGATTGGCTGCAGCTGTCAGCATGCAGGTCTAGCAGCCTGGAGGAGACATGATGGAGGTCTGACCTGCACAGACAAGATGCTAGTGGATGGTGTGGCAGCCAGGAGCAACAGAGCTGGCTGGATAGTGCGCGGAAAGATGGTGGATGCACGGTTGGACAGAGATTGAGGGTGGCTGGAGGCGCAGTTGGAGGATTCTGGCTGCCAACAATGAAGGCCAATCTTGGAGCTAGCAGCCGGATGGCGGTGGCTGGCAATGAAGGCTGGCCCCTTAGGGTTTTGTATCTTATTTCGGCAATAAAGGCAAGAATTTGTGAGGGAGGCTTAGGGTTTTTTTCTTCGAGCTCTGCGACAATGTTAGAAATGGTTGAACATATATTTTATTGAATGTCATAATTCTATATATATATATATATAGGTTTTCTAGAGTAGAAAAAGAAAATAAATAATTAATTAAATAGGTTGTCATTTACTCTAATACCTTTTAACCTAATTTACATATAATACACTCTTTTTAACAGGTTATTCTCCAAATCACCAATAAGTTTCACTATCTTACTCTCGGAAGAAAAAACCAATTACTTGCTTTTTTTCGCACTGATATTAATAGTAATTCCTTAAGATAATATTCTCTTTTCTTCCAGTTATACAAGTGATGAGCAGTATGCATTAGACAATCTTTTTATTGCACTGATATTCATAGCAATTCCTTAAGACAGACTATGCTCTTTTGTTCTAGTGATGTCATAAGAGATGAAAAGTATGCCTAAAACTCCCCAAGAATTTCCAATGTTTCTTGTCAGATAATAATTAATATGCATAACTATGAATTCTACCATACCGAGCATATTTCTATCTTGCTGGAGCTTAATCTACCAAATGAAAGACTGGACACATTTGAAATACCATGAGCGCCTTTAAAATAATTTATCGGAGTTATTTTCACTCCTAGTGCAGAAGGCATGCCTGTCAACAGGTCCTTTAACAAAGGGAATAGAACCAGATTACCACGTAGATCTCCACAGACCAGCACCTGTAGAAATTTGAAGTATAGAATTTCATCAAGAAAATATATTAATCAGATTTCAGCATAAAGAAAGTACTAAACTGAGTAGCTATGGCACTTATTATTAATCACATCTGACAATCCATTAAAGCTAGAGTATTCCATGGCCCTAGTACATGGTCTCACCTTCTCTGTCATCTTCTTTATGGTTGTTTTCTATCTTTTGGTTTTGGCTTTGTGCCCCTCCCCCTCCTTTTTTGTTACTTGAAATAATAATAAGATGTTTTTTTTTGGGCTAAGTTATCACATCAACCTTTTCAAAGATAGACTTGGAATTTTTTTCATTTTTGAAATCTAAAATTCTTCACCTTTCTTTAACAATGATATATTTTTGGTCCCCTTTTCAAGATAAAATTAATTTTACAATTTTGATTTGCTTAATCTGTCTAAATTTTGTCCTTATATGAAATGGAGAATTACTATTCGTTCACATTATGCACTTGCATTTCATCAACAACCTACATTGGAGCACAGGTGGCATCTCAAAAGATGACAAAATAGGCTACCTTCTCTTTGAAGTTTTTTTTTTTTTTCCCATAAGTTGGCCAGAGAAAACTTTCTGTCAATTCATACAGCATGTTTGAGCCCAAGCTTAACCCAGAAATTTTAGAATTTTATTCAAACAGAATAATGAAGAAATTATGAAAACCAAATACCTCTTCTTCAACCAAGGCATCCAAACACATTATCCGTGCCCCAAAACATGAGGAGAATTCCGCTATAAGAGAAACATCACAAGTTTTCGAAGAATCACAAGAAACAGATGCTACAGGATCAGATAACCTCCACAACTTCAAGATCCCTCTTGGATCTGCAGTGAAAACATACCTACACACAACAAAATTCATCTTTTAATATCTCTATTTTTGTAACATCCCTAATGAAACAATACGCTTAGATATCTTTTAGCCAACAATGCCATTATTGGTACTGTTGTTAGGCTTGCAGACTGGCCCGGCGGAAAGCATTTAAAAGTGGCAGAACCGACTCCAAAATGCTATTTTTTACACTAGGAAACAGTAATATGCAGAAAAATCTATTTCACAAAAAAAGGTAAAATGCAGAAAGATCAATCTAGGTCATATATAAACCAACAACAGGCAAATTTTTAACCCTAGATATTTACAGTCCAATACAAATAGATCGCTGAGTTTAAGCTCCGATGACCTTGCAAATAAGAGCATCAGTTTGACAAAAAGTTCCTTTTGGACAACTTAGTAGTGAGAAGTCATTACCTATATCCCAATGATCTGCACCAGAAGGTTCCTAAGAGTTGTCTCTCTGGTCCAGCAGACCAGGTGAGTTCATAGCCCACTTTAGTAGTATAAGCATCATAAGTAACTCTCACAACAGTCATGTTTCCTTTACCATCTCCAAGAGCCACCCAATCGTCTAAACTACAGGAATAGCCAGGTGTATTTCTGGACAACAATTCCATACAAACAATTGGTCCACCTTCTTTGATGTGAACTAGTTTGGTCCATTTTACATTCCCAGTGTTGGATAATTGAGCACAGTACAAATAACCATGGTTTGTAGCAACATAAATGGTATCTTCACAACTGAACCGCAGACAACGTACATACTCACTTTTGCTGCAAGAAAGCAGCTAATAATGTCAATCAATAGATAGAAGAAAATGTAGGAATGCTCAAAGACAACAAAAACATCCATTGCACAAGGAACAAGAAGGCATCTTTAGAAGAATGTTTCCCAGTGAAAACACAAAAGGGTTACAGTTGAATGATCTTAACCACCTAATGAATTATTACAACGCCACATTTTTTCAATTATTGAATGAAGATTGTTGACAAACACATGCCCAAAAAAAAAACCTTCCGGCAAGACAGAAGCAAATCCTTCACTGATGTGAATTATCCTTTACCACCATCAAATTTATATATGAGATGTGTTATTCTTCCATAAAGCAAAGCTTTTGATTGAGAAGACATTATGTTTATGTTCAAGAAATTGAGTACTGGGGCATTCTTAATATCAAGGGTTGCCTTGAGGACATCCTAAAATTAAAGACTTACTTACCTGTCCATAGGTCCAAAACATTCTGATGAATTTGGAATATGAATAGTAGATAGCTCTGTTCTCTCAATAAACTCATTTTCCTCTGTATATTCATCCAGTTTCTCACTCAAAGATTTATGCACCAGATGTACTTTGATTGCAGAGTCAAACCCAGCAGTAACAAGAAGTGAAGACTTTTGATCATACAAACATCTCCATATGCCCCTTCCTCTGAATAATAAACATAGAATTCAATTAACATATTTTCACCAGAAATCAGAAGCCAGAACACACTCTCACAACTTACATGTGTTCCTTGATCATCTTAAGCTGCTTACCATCTAATCCCCACACACGACATGTACAATCCTCGCCAGCAGTGACAATTAACTAACAGTAGTCAAAGAAGAGAAAATCATCCCAAATCTAGTCTTCGACATTCAATAATGAGACAGGAAAAAATTTCTATAAGTTTACATATCATATTTTGGCACTAAATGTTGAGCTGTGCTCATATTTAGAGAGATTACGGTTCTCAAAAAGGTGCTGATAAAGGGTGAGGGTTTATGCAGAGCCTAGGGAGCTTCTTATATGAGGGCATTTTTGTAATTTTGAATTTTCTCATTTCTCTCTATGTAGGAAAAATCTAGTTGTAAGATTTAGCTGTCAAAAGTTCAAAATTGAAAAGTTCACTGGTGATTCCATAGAGTAGGCATGGCCCATTGCCAAAACACATTTAAATTCTCCTGTGTTCTTTATCTCTTACGTTTGATTTAATCTGCATTCTGTGTGGGTATTTTCTTTAAACTTAACATTTTTTTTAAAACAGGGGGATTATTAATATAAAGACTATATCTAAAGCACCAATATCCACTGTGGATGAAATGGAAAATTCATAAGAATGTTTGCAAGTCTAAAATAAAAAGAAACATCAAAACAAGTAAACTTTGATGATGAAACACAGGGTCAGGAATTTTCACTTGTGTCATAAATTGTTATTTCTGTGGCACTAGACACTAGAAGAGAAAAGGAGGTTACTAATATGCTAAATACACTAGAACTAAAGCACCAATCAACTGTGAGTGTTATGGTCAAGAGTAAGAAATGAATCAACTGTAAATGACATAATATAGAATCAGATTATCACTTATGCCATAAACTGTGATTTTCTTTCTTAAAGCTGGTTTTCTTATGAACCAGAATGAACACAAAGAAAAGTGAGCACACCATGATCATATGAAGCTTACAGAATCAGAGATACAGCAGTCCCAAACCCGAGCATTATGACCAAATAGCACTTGGCCAACATCCTCCTCCAAGTTATCAGAATATTTCCGTTCAACATCAATAGTCCAAATACGGGCACTATAACCATGTCGAAATCATGTCATTGATTTGGATAACTCAAAGCAGGGAAAAAAAGAGGACAATAGAATCATTAAAAACTTACTCACCTACGATCATCAGAGACAGACACCAGTTTAGATCCATCGGAAGACCACTCTATGCGAAATATTGAACCTTCATGTCCAACAAGTCTACATATATGAACAGCTTCATACTGCTTAAAATAAAGGCTGCTACTATTAGAGCATGAAGTATTAAGCTTTGTTTGGTCTTCCAGAGTGCCGCAGACAGAGACCACTTTCCAAACAATAATCTGTCCAAAACAATGACATAAAAAAGACATTGGGCATCTCAGTGATTAATTGGAAGAACAAATTTCATTTCAATGTAAAAAAAAAAAAAATCCATTTTTGTTAGACGCAATAACCAATTGTGAGGCAGTGAAGACAATGTGTAAAAGAAGAAAATCAAGTAGATTGATGTTCACCCCTCAAAAATCGTACAAATAAAGCAGTGCAGATTTTAGGAAGATTAGCCACCTCATTGTAAATAGTGCCGGATGCAATATGGAGATGTTCAAGATTATCACCCCATAACCGCATGGAATATAAAAGGCACCTGTCTGCAATGCAACAAGATGGAGATGATGAAATCTAATGGTCCAAACCTTATTTTAATCTGATTATCAAAAAGAAAAGGAAAAGAACTGACCCGGAGATTGAACTTCGAGAATCACACTGGACTCTGAAATATTCCAACAAAAAACAGAATTATCACTGCACCCTATAGCAAGACAATCCTCTTCTTGACACCCCTGTTAGCAATGGGAAAAAAAATAACAAAGGACAAAACAGTAAGCATGATCTTTTCCAAATTCGGTGAAGCATTGTAGTCAAACGAAAAGTAGCAAACTTTGACCTTCAGGAAACAAACGTCCAAAACCCAATTATTAAACCTCGGTAAGGAATGAACAAAGTTTAAATCCACAAGAACTTCTGATTGAGCTTCGGAAGTCAAGGCCACTTCAACGTTTAAGCTAAAAAGCTTCACTCTCTTTTCCCCAAAAACAGCTAGCTTGTAAGCGAGCTTAACGGACAATGATCCTTCATTGCAAATAACAGAGCTACAAGTAATTCCATGGACACGAATTCCTTCAAATACGTGAAATGAACGTATCATTTGGCCCGTTTCCAACTCATAAAGCAGAATTTGTGAACCAGAACCTGCTTTTAATTTTTTTTAAATAGCAACAAATCAATAATTAAAAATCAGCAAACTGTTGTGACCGTTAGAACGAAAAAATATCTACTCCTGCTGGTTTTCATTGAACTGAGCTCAAAATAAAGGGGGGTGTGCGTGTGTGTGTGTGTCTAACTATGTAGAAGGAATTGATGGACTGAGGAGGGAAAAGCGAACCAGCAATGAGAAAGGGAAGAAAAGAGAGGCCAGAAGGAGGAAGGAGAAAATAAAGGGCAGAGATTTCGCCGAGGTATTGCCCGCAATGGAGGTGCAACTTGCTCTGCTGCCGCTCCGCCATAGCCGCTGCCCAGTCCGCCTGTTTCTCTTTTTATGAGCTTTTATTCAAAGCTTATGGCCTGTTCTTTCATTTTAGCTTCCCTAAAGAAGTTTTAAGCTAATGGGTTGGACCCTCGGTAGCCTCAAAAAAATAAACTCGAAATTGGAAAAAGAAATGCGGTGAGCGTGGATCGAACACGCGACCTTCAGATCTTCAGTCTGACGCTCTCCCAACTGAGCTATCCCCGCTTGATGATTTTTTGATAGAAGCTAACCTATTTCTTAAATGACGTGATTCCTAGCTTGCACGGGTTATCTTCCTGTGCACCGATCCGTACTTATCCATTTGCGTTTCCGTCTTGCTTTCGAGTTATCGACACAGGCAAAGATGGGAAAGACAGAGTCTTTCAAGGACGAATTCACTTTCGGTATGTTCTCTTCTTTCATGTTTGGTTTCTAACTCTGTTTACTGTCGTCTAATTTTGTGGAAAATTGTCTACTTTCTTAACCCGTTATTACAGAAGAAAGGCTCGAAGAATCACGCGATATTATTGGAAAGTATCCTAATCGAGTTCCCGTAAGTCCATATTTTAAAACCGTTACACTTTTTAACTTTTTTGTAGTGTTCTTCTTTTTCTGATCGATATGTTAATTGGATCATCTCGATAGTTATTCGAACCCTAAAATATGGTCCTGAATAATCTCTTCCTGGGAATTTATTATGAATTCCCATTCTTTACATTATTGCTTCGGACAAGTAGCTCGATCTTTTTTCTGTTTTAATAATTTGAGATGCATTAAGATATGTGTTTTTATATTTGTTCTATAAATTGAGAATTCTGATTTTTTTGATGATTAATGTTTATCACTTGCAAAGGAACTTTAGCTGTGGAATAAAGAGATTGGATTCCCTGGGTTCATGATGTATGAATTGAAAAGCATTAGCAGATGACTTACCTGGATAGGAAAGATGATAAAGAAAATGTTAGCCAACTAATACAATCTGCTCGAAATGTCCTTTTTTTCTTTTTGAAAGAAAAAGAACACAGAAAATATAAACTCGCCCACCGCGGGGCAAGAATTCTGCTTGAAATGTCCTTATGGGCTTAAGAAAGGTTGTTTGATTCAATGTGGTTAATTTGTTACTCAGATTCTAAGATACTGCTTTTAAATTTTGCTTGCCCTTTTTGGAAATTGATTGGCTGCTAAATTAGAGAGATTATTCACTCTGCAGGTAATTGTTGAGAGGTACTCAAAGACTGACCTTCCTGAGATGGAAAAGAAGAAGTAAGCTTCAACTGAACTGCTTACAAGTCAATTTTGGTGAATGAGATGCCTCTTATTTAATATATTCTATTAGCGCTATTATCATGAGATAGTCTTTCTAATCTTTTTGCTAATATCTTATCTTTTTTCTTGCTAGTAGAGCTAACAATGGTGGAGTAGATTTTTTCTTAGTGTTCAGTAACTTTTTTCTCAGTAGAAATGTTTAGTTTATTACACTAGTAATTTGAAGGTCATTAGTTTTTAAACTTAGGGTCCTCAGCCACATTGTTGCTGGCATAACAGCAATGCACTGGTGCCCAAATGATTGGACTAAACCACTATATGAACTTCAACCTAGAGAATGAGGTGTTGTTGGTCGAGAAAATCTACTCTTCAGTGGTGAATACATAGAAGATGTCAATGTAATCATTGACCAGGTTTAGAATCAGTAGCTTTATAACCATAGTATGAGAAGAATTATTAATATTCAGCAAGCAAAATTGACTTTAGACTGAGCAAAACTGAGTCATATCCGTCCTCAGAAGTTGGGTGTTTCACATACCAACTTGTTTGTTTGTGGAACTTCCCCGTTTGTTTTCATATAAAACAAATGCACTCTGCGACAGAAATGTAGAATCAATTTCCAAATTTTTGTTTCTAAGTTTAGAACGATTCAAGTACTGGAATTTATTTTAAAATGATTTCGATATGAGATTTGAGCAAGTGCGTTTCAAAACCTACCAAATTTAGAAGAATGTTGAAAGGAACTTGAGAGTTTAGGGGGAAGTCTAAGGTGATTGGTGGTCTTTGTCCTTCCTCTATCCTAATCAGTTGGAGCATAGGTGTGATTATTTGCTTCACGGGCAAATAACATGTGCAGGTAGCCTGGGAGAAGTGAAGCAAGCTACCCTTCCCTAACTCCCATCTATATCTACGAGCAGTAATGGTAAGAGCTAAAACATTTGAAGTCCAGATGCAGTTGGTACTTTTGGATCGATTCAAAAGGTTCTCACAAACACCAAGCATGTTTGGGTGGTGAAGGTGTCATATTTACATAGAAGTTTAAATTATTTTTTTGCAATCTTGTTTGTGTTTCTCAAAATATAGGGATTTAATTGAATTCTGAAAGCATTGTAGAAATTCCTGATTTATTTAAAATAAGAAAGTTCATTTGTAAATAAATTTATTGTTCAATTTATTTAGATATCAAACTAAGTTTATTGTTTCTTTATTCCAAACAAAGCCCTAGGGTTTAGTTATTAGATGCAGAGTATAAACTGTAGTTGGTTAATGTGCATGATGAAAGGGTGTGTCTTTGTTCATAATTATCGTGTCTCAATAAAGTGGTAAATCCGCTCAGAATCTTAAATTTGTTTACTGGTGAAATAATGCTAAATGTTGGTGAGCTGATAAATTTTGGAATAAAACTTTCATCATATTCAGAACCAACTCATTGCAAATTTGAACCTTCATGTATAGAATGTGAATAAAAATGAAATTGGCAAATAAATTTTGCTCTTTGTTTGTAAATTCATTTTGTTCAAATGCCAAGTATTCTGTTTCACGTAAATATTTCCATATATGGTAATTATCCTAATCTAAGTTCTCCTTATTTTATGAGCAGATATCTGGTTCCCAGAGACATGTCTGTTGGGCAATTCATTCACGTCTTAAGTAACAGGCTTCATGTGGCACCTGGGAGAGCTATATTTGTCTTTGTGAAGAATACTTTACCTCCAACAGGTATCATCTATTAGATGTTTCTTGAGTACCATCTCTTTAAATTATTTTTGAGACAATCTGCTGATATGGAGCTAATTTGCAGCTACTTTGATGGATTCGGTCTATGAGTCGTACAAGGATGAAGATGGATTTCTTTACATGTGCTACAGCAGTGAGAAAACGTTCGGACATTCTGGTAGTCAAATTCTTGAATATTGATGTTTGTAAATTAGCAGTAAAATTATGCAGTTCTCAGTTGATAAAATGTTTAGAACTTATGAGGACTGCATGTATTATGATTGACTTTGTAAATTATGTATGAGAAATGAGTTGAAAGTCATTTCCGACAGTATGTTGCAAAAATATATATATACAGAAATTTCCCTGTTACAAGTAGTTGCATATGTTTGTCAATTTACTCCAGGTTCCTAGTTGTGTAGTATTACGTTCTATATGAGAAAAAAACAATATCATGACAATTTGACAAACTTAAAAGGTGGTGACGCAAAACCTCATCATGCACTACATGATTTGACTAACGATTACGTGAGGGAAATTAGAGCCAATGTTGATAAAACTTGTCAAGTGCAGAAGAGAGCCCTTGAATTGTGGCTCCATGAGGGTAAAAATTCCTCTCATGCTTGCCAATTGTTGAGATTTAAAATGGGCAAAAGAACTTTCCCTTAAGCGTTTTATTAAACAGAGGAAACAAAGAACTAAAGAGTTTCATGGTGAATTGGAGTGTTCAAATTACAGAATAGAATTCCATCCCTCCTTATTTAGAAAAAGAATAAATAAAAATAAAATAAACATCTCGGGAGTACAACAAAACAAATCACCGAACACCTTCCAAATTTTACCAAACCTTCTAATTTGTATATAGAATATGAACACTTCAATGTCCGTTGGTGAGATATGTTTACACCAACTACCACCTTTCAAAATTTTTTCCCCAGACATCAATCTAACAACCCCAATGGTCAGAAAATATTGAAAATCTTGACAAACATTGGGTTCCCTATCTGGCACAAGGACTTCTAAAAACATCGAAGCCCAAACTAGTTTTTGCTAACATATCTTTGGCAGCATGTCTAGAGGAAGAGTTTCTGACCACCCCCCTTCCGCCACACACCTCGTACAGGCAGTCCATTGTGATTCTGGTTACCGTTCAATCTGTTTTCCTGTGGATCAGAATTTTTTAGATCTAATAATGCTGCCATTGAGCCATCACCCAACCGCACTCTCTGGAACTTTGAGGTCTTTTTCCGTTGTTTACTACCACCACCACCTTCCCCTAATCCACCTCCAGCTGCTGATGAGACACCATTCTGGCCACCTGGTTCTGCCCCTGGTTGACTAACCAAATTTTGCTCTCGTGGTTGCTCATCGACTGTTGCCTTTGATTTACCTTTGGAAGAACGGTAACCATCCTTTGATAGCACCTCTACCTCTTCTTCTGAAGACTTGTAAGTTGTCTGCAACTTCCTGACCATGCCGATTACACTGTCTGCTAATGCACCCTTGGAATTAGTATCTTCTGAAAGTATAGCCTTCCCTTTACCTTTTTTCTTAGACCCACTATTATCCTTTGATCGGCCTGTACTCTTAGTCCAACCCTGTTCTTCCAGAGTGTCACTCCTCAAGCTAGCATTGTAAGTTTCAACCAGCTCTTTCTGCTTCTGAGCATTGGGACAGAGCCTAGCCAACTCAAGCACTAGATGGGACAAGCCATATTGCTTCACATAATCCAAATAAGTTCTTGTGTCAATCAAACCCTGGCGATACTGCCCTGATATATCTTTAAATGCAGTATATTTTTCTTCATTATATTCAAGGGCTGCCTGCATCTTTTCCACCAAAGATTTGTTTGCAGTGTGGACATCTTCGACATTCAGCAAAGCCTGGCCATTCGAATGCGACACGTGCATTTGTGTTGCAGAAACCAGAGGAAAATCAAAATCAGAATGTTCCAACTGTCTGTTCTCAGAAAGATTAGGAGCAGATGAAGATTGGGTTACCACATTGGCGGTACCTAAACTCCATGGAGAACCAGCTGATACAAGTCCACGAACTGTTGCAGGTCGCACTGGATGCTGAGTTTGTGCAGAGCTTGCATAGCTTGGTACTGCAGGCGAGGAACTTGTATTTAATGTAGTAGGGACAATATTAGTTATAGGCCTAACCTTTGATGAACTACTTGATGCTTGGATAGGCCCACGATTTGTTGCTGGCCATGCTGCCCCTGAATTTATAACATTTACTTTTTCATTGTTTTGGCGGCGTAGGTGCGCTGCCATGCTTTTATCATGTAAATCATTTGATCTGGGTTTTTGTCGGGTGCTACTTGGGCCAACAGGAAGGGGAGGAAATGAAGATTCTTCCAGAGCCACATTCCTAGAGTTGTGGCCCAAAGCCTGAAGGTATCTTGAAGATGATTCTACATCTGCTGTTGTCAATGATTCAAAAGGCTGTATGATGGAATCAATATCGTCAGCCCCTAGATTGTCTGACAACGATTGGGCAATAGCTGATGATAATTGATCATGGAATGTGCTCTCTGTTCTAGCCATCTCAATAGAAAGTTCATCATCACCATGTTCGCGTCGGAATGTTCTGCCCCTTCCACGACGACTATCTTGTTCACTGTTTCTCCGATATCGAAAGCTAGTTGGGATCTGGAAAGAGAGCAAAACAAACCTAATTAGTGCAAACTTATCTACAAGGAAAATGCACATCACTGGATGAAATGAAAATCACTAAAAATGAACATAAATTTTGAAATCAGCATCTTAAAGAAATACATGCCTGAAGAGCGGCATTACGCTTTGAACGAGACATACGCCCCCCGTGTTCAATTGTATTATGCCTCTGTAAGCAAAAACAGGAATATAATTTAGGACTATTACAGAATCTGGTTAAAAAAAATCAATTTGATCCATAAACATGCACAATTTCATATACAGGCAACGCAACTTGCTCTAGAACACACAAATATAAGTACAGCACACTTATTGAGGAGTCACCTTCATTTCGGCTTCAGTTTGAAAGACGATAAATTTTTTGGCAAGGCAGGCTTCATCTTCACAAAGGAAATGCTCTCGACCGAAGTGAATCTGTTACAGACAGATGATAAGTCATTTACAGAGTCAGAATACAACAGTTTTAAGAACAGATTCATCTCACTGGCATAGAAAATAGTGTAACTTGCCTCCAAATCATCATAATTCTTATAATATTCATATTGTCCCGGATGCTGCCTACATGAAATATTGAACTGGTTATTGCCATACAAGACACGTGACATTACCAGAAATCCCAATTTGACCAGCATAAAATGCCTTACCTTTGGCATATGTGGCAGGTATAATGCTCTGTAGACATATGCGAGTACAACTCATTATCTCCATAAAATGAAGTCTTGCA